TAAAAGTCTAAACTAAAGTACACAACAGTAAATGAAACTTGCTGAAGTTCAAGACTAAACTGAAAGGATGCAGCTAACATATGTGCCTGGTGCCATCTCCTGGTAGTTTAGAGGTAAAACATTCACAAATATCAATTTTCTTCCTACATATCTTTTAGAAAAATGTCAGGTCTTTAGAGAAAGGGGAGGAGAGGAGAAGGGGGAGAAAGAGAACTGAATGTTTTACCACAGATGTAGCTTTCAAAACTCTCAAAATCTACTAGAAGTTATTTCACTGTACAAGACAGCCAGTATCTGGATGTAGCTACTTTCAAGCTAAATGGTGTTCTTACATTGGCTTAAAAAAGGAAACATCAAATCTCTTTCATTTTCTAGAATAAATAAGTGGTCACCTGAGTAAGTCTAATTTCAAAATACAATCAGTACCACTGATAACATTTAAAATGAAAATCAATTTTAAAAATTTCTATACAGTGTTCAAAACCAAAATGAGAAAGTCCCTTTGGAAGTCTACTCATCATATTAGATGTTACAGTGCGGTTTATTAATGCATACAGACTCATTTCAAAATATATTTTTTTAATTAATACTTAAAATTCAAGACAATCTTTCCCAATTGCACCACTGTAATTGCTGTTGGTGAAAGAATACAGTATTGCTATTTGTAATAACATCGCGGGTTGTGTTTTAAAACATAGCATTATCCAACCTGAAAAGAAGTGTTATAGTATTTTGACCACTGACAAGTGGTACCTGTACTTAACCTGCACAGACTATTGAAAACAAACTTGACCAACAACAAAACCAAAAAGAAAACAAAATGAGCTTGGTAATAAAATGCCTGTCAAAAATTGCAGTATTTTACATTAATTCTAGAGTTAATTCCAGATAATAATAAATCACCAAAGGAATCCTGGATGAGAGCTTTGAAGACACAAAGGAAGGCAGTAAAGAAGCTCACACCTAGCAAAGTGATTTTACGATTTAAACATTTAAAAATAACAGTGTTATTTAAAAGAACATTTAAAAAGGAACAGTGAGGGTACTTGGCTGTGCTGGTGGCCTACCCTGTGTCCAGGAAAAGCTTTTCCTGAGAACTACCCAAATGTCACACCATTGGATAGCACAGAAACTAAACAGCTGATAAAGAAAATTAACAGTTTCACTAAAAATCAAGGAAGCTCAGCCAACTGAGAACTGCCTCACCCAGCATGTGATCCACAAATCCCACAAGCTGGGCTGAGGAAAGGAGGGAGCAAAAAGTCTAACCTGCAGAACAAGAGTGAGCTCAACATCTGCCATGAATTTTGAGTGCTGGCAACTACAGGGATGGGCAGCATTCTAAAACCATAATGAGAATCAAAGCGATGCACAGAAAATAAGAGGTAAGAAGGCAAAAAGGCTAGCTACTTCTATGGGCTCAAAGTACAGAATCTCCTCCCAAAGCGTGGGAAGAAATGACTCAAAAGAGCTTGAGATGTCCCAGAAAAGGCGAAGCACTAAGACTCTTTGGCTGGGGTAAGACTTCATTTCTCTGCACAGGAAAAACTGGTTTTACTGAGGCTTAATATGACAATTTGTTAATGTGATATAAGGGCTTTTGTAGCACAAAGAACTTTCACTTTATAGATTATTTTGCTATGCTGGAAAGAGAGACCTGTCCACATCCTGAGGGGAAAAAATACTAACAAAAAAAAAGTAAATTGGGAATGAGCTCTACAAGTGGATTATGTTTTCTAGTCTCCTGAATGGCTATGGGAATGCGACCTGGGTTGCCTTAAAAAAAGTGAAGACGTACCAGTGATTTGAATTGTCCCAGGTTCATTGACAATTGCCATGGGGAAGCAATCGTTACATGTTGCAGAAAAGCCAAGCTAAATAGGGGACATTTCCTTCCACTGAAAGAGAAGCAAAAAAATCCTGTCATAACATTGAGCTGTAATTGAGAAACAGAGCAATGACTAAAGAATCGTAAGAGACCTAAATTAAATACAACTGGGATTTCACATTCCTTATGAAAATTAAGGTTTTAGCATGAGATAATTAAAGCAAGGATAGCCAGCTCGTGGTGTGCCAGAACATATAACTCAGCCTGTCATCTTCGTTCCTGAGAGTCCCTTAGAGTTGGTCAGGAAGCAGGCTGTCAGCTACACAAATCATTCACTAACCCACAGCAGTCCCCCTGCTGTTCTCCCTCACAAGAGCCCCGCAGCCTTCCCCTTGTCATGTAGCTGGACGTGCCCTAGCCACAAAATACAGGCATCATCATCGCAAGGTGCAGGCCTGTTCAGTAACATGACAAAAGGACTTATGTACATATGTCCCCATCACACTTGACTGGGCTACGGTCAAGTGGTGACTGCAGATTAGTTACGTGACAGATACGCACGTATTCCCTGGGTGTCTCAGTCGTGGGATATTGGACTGACCTGGCAGAAAAGCTGAGTGACACCAGCCTAAACGAAGTGAAGAAAATGAATACAAGGGCTATAGAGCTTAGGACTTGTAACAGAGAAACAAAGATGACATTGCTGGAGAATGTGAAGGGAAAAGCAGCAAACATACATTGTCAAATAACTAAACCTTCACGCAAGTGAATTATTTGGGGGGAGGGGGGGAAGGAGAGGAACATCTTGATAACATGAGAAGAAAAAGGTGAAGATGAAAAATATTCTAGTAGAAGAAACACAATGGTTAAGAAAAAGGAAGACACTACTTCATGGACTTAAAAGACTGAACTTTTCAAAACTAATGAATCAGCCATGGAAAAATAATGTTTGAAAAGACAAAAGGAAGTATTAGGAGCTTTATACCACAGAAAAAAATTACAAGTATTGAAATTATGTACCTCTTACAATTAGATTACATTACAGCATATACAAGAAATGTAAAGAAAAGTAGTGACACATTGTAAAAGGGAAATGTATTTCCTGAAAGAGAGAAAAAATAAAATTCCAAAATGTAAAGGGATTTGGGTTTTTTTTGGGGAGAGGACATCAGAGTAGAAACCAGTGTTAACTGCAATACAGAACTGGGGATAAAGAAGTGATCCAAAACTCTGTGAAATACCAGGTACCAGGTTCACTGAAAGAAGCTTAAGAGTTTTAACAGAGGTTCTGGGGATCACCACCACCTCTCAATACCTTCCAGATGAATCTTGGAAGAAATAAAGATGCAATTAAGTCTGTTGTTGATATGCGTATCTGCCTGCTCATATCAACAACAGTTCTTCAAGCCATCTATACTGAAATACATTGAAAAGAATTTGTTCAACCAAGAAACATTTGGATTTTTTTCTTCCATTTGGTTTTAACAGTAAAACACCTGAAGGATAAACATGTAAATCTTAATCAAAAGCTCTACTATTCTTGCCTAGCCTCATGCAACAGGACTTCTAAGCTCTTATATTTATCAGAAAAATTATCAGCCCTCCAAAAACCTCAAAGAAAGCAAAACGGATGAAAAGCCAAGTGGGAAAAAAAAAGGAGGCTGAAGCTATTTTGGGACAGATGAATAAGTGCATGATATTACATAAAGTTTGAAGCAAACCAGCTGATATTCACAGCTATCTAGCTTCTAAAAGCTGGGCTTCAGATGAAAAGTGCCTCCATTACCATAGGCTCTAAAATACACCACTCTTACCAGAAAATATTTTATTCAGAAAACTAATGCCTAACACAATCACTAGTGATCAAGACCCAGAATAAAGTTCTCCAGGTTAATAACTAAATTATTCAGACCCTTTCAGAATTTCAGCACATGTTGAACAAATATACTGTTTGTTTTAATCACAACAAACTGTACTTTATCTTGGAGCCACAGTGTCTTAGCTTTTGAGAAAATGTATTTTATTATGACAGAGTAAGTAATCACACCAGTGATTCCCTCTTCTAGCAGCTGGTCTACTGCACTGTGTAATGATCATAAAGTTTTTATCCTAGGTTTAAAATACATCTACTTCAAATGTCACTTCATTTTAAAGCTGTTCTGATCAGTTTCTTTCAAGGTCAATATAGCCATAATACAACAATGTCTTAGATGATAATGTCTATTCATTCCAGACACTTCAGAAAAATCATATTCAGGCAAGGATTTCACTTGCAGCTCTTCTCTGCCTAACAAGTCTGTTCACTTTGCACTTCCTTGCCTATTGGTTGATTTTATCAGCTGACTAGCTGGCTACCTAGTTACTATCCCAGTAAACTGTGGCTTCTCCTCTTCATGAGACTATTTAAATATTTCAACACTTAGCATTGACTTGCTCTTTCACTCAATCTCTCTTAGCTGTTAACCTCTGCCAGTTTCCTCTTTTTGATAGTCACTACTAGTGTCTTCCTTGATGTCCCTGTAATAAATAATCCCTAAATAATAGAATTTAAGTGCTTTGACCAACATGCACTGCATACAGTGCTTACATAATAGACCGGGTTTATGTTATACAGCTACTACGTATATACTTGAATGATACCAAAAATCACCCATATGAGGTACTCGCTTCATTTCATTCATACCTGGAAAGTGTAATTTCTAAGTTCAACACCGCCTTCACGGGACGAATGCCTTTAAACAGACTCTGAAACTGGAGTTTTAACAGCGTTTCCAGGGGAAGGACTCACTCCGCCCCGAGCCTGCGCTCCCCTCAGCGCTGCCACCACAGGTGACGGCCGGGCCCGGCGCAACGCCACCGAGGGCTGGCGGGACGCTTAACGCGGAAAAACCTTTTCTTTCCAACAGGGAGCAGCCCAACCTGGACCCGAAAAGCCTTTCCACCAACGGTAGCCCTCACGCACAGGGGCTGGGCTCGTGCCGAGCCGACCCCTCCCCTTCCTCCCCCTCAGCCGTTAACGGCCGCTCGCCACGCCCCGCGCACGCGCGCCCAGGAGAGCGCGGCCTCGCGAGAGCGCCTGCGCGGCGGGCGGGCGGGCTGAGGGGGCCGGGAAGGGGCGGGGCGGCACTGGATTTGAACCGGGCGGCGGGGAATCGGCGGCCGCGTAGCCCCCATGGCCAAGCAGCTCAGCCGGGACCAGCAGGGTATCACCCTGCGGGGCAGTGCTGAGATCGTCGCC